AAGATATATCCCCACCTTAGTTATATCCCCAAAAATGCTCTAGAAAAAAGGGGTGATATAACCCAGGTATGACTGTAGTTCGCATTTAGCATCTATATAAAATCACTTGTTAGAGTTAGAAATATACATTTTCCAGCGCAAGATAAAGCTCTCTTGCGTTTTCGTTTTACTATCTAATGCTATCAGGTGGGTAAAGGTTTTCAACGAGCAGTAATTCTGAGGCACTTATTAATCGAGGTTTTAACACAAGTTTTGGTAAGCTAAACTTTTCTCTGGGATCGTCCCCGATATCTCGCATCCCTAATCTAATTCTAAACATCATATAGTTCTGTTATTATTATGATTTGTGCATCAAAAAAGTAATCAAATTTATGCAGTAAGTTTGTATGAGAATCAAAAACAATGTGCTCGTATGTCTGTCAGAATTGTTGAATCGGGTATAAAAACGTCCAAGTTTCAAACGATACGTTTCAAATCTGAACTGGACTTAAAATTTTCATTTTAATATAGTATATGGGAAGATTGGTTTGCTTAGCCCGCAGTCGAAATTCATGTTCCTTGCACCATGGACCGACGAGACATTTCAAGAAGACGGCCAATGCTTCAGTTAGATCAACCAATATCATCAATAAGAGCTAAAAACAAAGGTTTCATATTTTCTATATACAATTTTTTATTGTTTTAATAACTTTAATTAACTTTTAGTGTCACCATTTTTCAGCTACCGATGAAGCTAAAAAACGCCAAGAATCGAAGAACGTGCTGCAGGAGCTCCTCGGAGACTATAGTGAAAGCGATGATGAAGGAGATGAAGAAGAGGCACAGATCGGTAGGCGAAGCAGCTCTTGCGAGTGTTATATAGTACCTATATTATTAACAAAGGCAATGATGCATAGTTTGCGATAGGCAAAACCTGCGAGGTGGTCGGTGTATAGTTTTTCTTTCAATATTTGTGAACAGGGAGTGACTAAATTAATATTTTTAAAAAAGAGAATCCATCAAAGGAGCAATCGCAACCCGATTCTTTCAACTCTTCAAATAATAAATCGGAAATTCAGGAACAAATATCAGATTCTCACTTGCCAACAACTTCTCTGGTTAATTCTGAACATTCGACCGAGATGGATCAGTCTGAGGAGAGCATCGAAGCAGCATTAAAAAACTTTTTGTCCGAAATAAATGCTTTACCTATTACTTCTATCGATAAAAATTCTACTTTGGAAAAAACCAGTGAAAAATCCTTTAAAAATATCGTACCAACGGAAAAGAATCAAGTTGTTTCGCAATTCACGTATCCAGAAGGCGATTGGCAACGACATTTTCATCAAGAAGAAAAACGGTACTATTATTACAATAGTAGAACCGGTGAAACATGTTGGGACCTTGACACACAAACTAATGTTTCAGGAGCTTCATTAATGTCGCGTTCGGATGAAAAAACAAATAATTTGGATTCGTCATCTAAAGAAGACTCCAATCGAGAAGTTGATACTCAATTAAATCAAATGATTTATAGTAATACTACTGATGACACCAACAATACTACATCCATGCGCCCTCCTTCATCTGACTCACCATTGCATATTCGCTCAAGAGATGCCTACAACCGTTTGTCTATCATTACTCCTATGGCAACACACTTGAGGCTTGAAAGGCATCAAATTGAATTCGCCACCAGACTACATGATTGGCAAATTGGTGCGTTGAATTCATATTATTTTGAAAAGGTTATTTTAGAAGGATTGGAGATGCTAATACGAAGTATTGAAGGTATGTTTATATCTTAATATAACAAAATTTGTAGATTCTATTAATATATTAAAAAATTGAATACAACAGAGCAGATATCACCTACTGGTTGGTTATGCAAATGGAAATCTGATTCAAAAACATACACTTGGATGCACATTCAGTCGGTATGAATTTGTGTATATTATTTATGTTCATGTCCTTTATAATTTTAAGTAACACTTTATGTTATAATTTTTGTCAGAATCAAGTTTCTCTCACATATCCAAGTCCTGATTTGATTACAAATCTTAACACTCATTCTTTGTCTGTAAATAAGCAAGAATGTTCTACATCAGCATCAGATTCTTCACCCATAGCTACTCTAATACAATCATCGCACCATAATACTACTGCTTTGCAACCTACAAGCATTCCAAAAACGTCAAATAATTCATTTTCACAATCGTTATTTCAATCACAAATTACTCCACCGCTTCCACCTTTACCACCTCCACCCCCATTACCCCAAGTTGAAAATTGGAGTTAGTTGGGCTTCTAATTAAAGTTATAGAGACGGTTTTTATAGTTCTAATGATGTTTAGATTATTCAAATCAATCTAGTAAATTTCAAGATATTTAAGATCAAAGATGTGAAGATAGTAATCTACAAATTACCAATATTATAACTATAATACTATCTTCACATCTTTGATTCCAAATATCTTGGGATCTACTAGACCAATTTGAATGATCTGAACACTATTAATTTTCTCTATAACTTTAATTAGAAGCCCAAGAAAATTAGTTTATTAAAAAACTTCTTTAATTAATTAATTAAATTTAAAAAAATAATTTTTTAAA